AATAATAATAATAATAATAATAATAATAATAATAATAATAATAATAATAATAATAATAATGATAATAATAGCAGCCTTTATTGTCATTGTACATCATGTATACAATGAAATTGGTTTAGCCCAGCGGTGGCGAACCTATACGCAGAACCCTCTCTGTGGGCATGTGCGCCTTTGCCCCAGCTCTGTTTCAGGTTTCTGCTGTGCATGCGCAGGGTGCGTGGGGATACACAAGTGCATACGGGGGCACATGTGTGGGGGCACGAGGGCATGGGCACATGCAAAAGGCCCTGGGGGCGCATGTGTGGGGTGCATGTGCCCACACCTTGCATATTGGGTAGGATGTGCACACTTGTGCAGGGTGCACACGCACATGTGCCCATCCTTTGCCCTTTGGGTGCGCACATGCACTTTGGGCACCCAGTGCCTAAAAGGTTCGCCATCACTGTTATAGCCTCTACTGGTGCAATCCATAGCAGAAAATACAAGACAATTCAATTCCCAGTTTATACAAATAATTGGGGAAAGAAAAAGAAACAAGTCATACGTTTCCATATGTACGTGGAGTGATTGCGATTGTGTTTAGGAGTCTGACAGCCCATGGGTAGAAGCTGTTTTTAAACCTGTTTGTCTGGCTGGCTATACTTCACTGGCCAGGGTGTGAATCATCCCTAAGTATCTTCCTTACTCTGCTGAAACAGCGAGACTAGGCAATGTCATTCAGTGGTGTTAGAAGGCAACCAATGGTTTCCTGTGCCGAATCGATCACTCTCTGTAGTGCCTTCCGGTCCGCAGCTGTTAAACCAGTGTGTCATTCTGTTATACAGTATGCGAGATCACTTTCTATCGTGGACCGATAGAAAGAAGTCATCAGCCATTGTTTTAAAATGTATGGACCCACAATTCTTGAGGGCTGGAAAATTCAAGGAGTGAAGTCCACTCAAAGTTGCCAAGTTTGAAAAATACTGATTTTAAATCAAGGGCAGGCACTTTAAGGCGAATGGATCAACTTTGCCTCCCAAACTCTTTTTCCCAGCCCAGAACAGCCCTCCTTTTTTTCAAATCTGATGATGAAATCCTGCGATAAAGCACCCAGTAATAGTCATATGATATTCAGTAGCTTTCGTCAAAATTAGAAATAAAATGGCATAATAGCAGAGTTTCCAATATACTTATTGCAGCCATTTTTTGTTGTTTTTAAATTTAGAAGAGATATAATTTTCTCTCCTATAATACTGCAACCTTTCATTTTACTATGAGCCCTTGAGGAAAAAAAGGAAATAAAAGTATGGGCCACAGTCACAAAAACATTATCTACTCTGGTTATAAGTCATACTTTATTCTGCAAAAAAAATATTTCCCTAGTCCTCACATGACTGATGAAGGCTCATTGAATCCTCCACATCATTGGTGAGTGATTATTGGGGAAATTCACTGCAGTCTTCATTGTTTTATGTTATTTCCTTTTTATGTTGTATCAGAAACAGAGGTGGGTTCCTACCAGTTCGCACCTATTCGGTAGAACCGGTTCGTCAAATCTACCGAACCGGTTAGAA